ACACTGTAACACACACACAACAACTGAACAACACACACACACTGTAACACAACACAACACTGTTGAACCACACACAACTGTAAACACCACACACTTAACACAAACACCACTCGTAACACACACACTGCTAACACACACGACACACTGGTAACACACACACACACCACACAGGCTGTAACACACACACACACCACCACACACACAACTGTAAACACACACACTGTAACACACACACACAACTGTAACACAACCACACGAGCACACACTGTAACACACAAACACACTGTAACACACAACACATCACACTTAAAACACACACACACTCCAACTGTTAACAAACCACACACTGCACGACTGTAACACACACACACTTGACACACACACACACACCCAAACACACACACACACACACCACTGTAACACACACACACTGAACACACACTGTAACACACACACACACTGACACAACACACACTGACACACACTGACGCACCACACTGACAACACACACAGGCACAACACACTGTAACACACACTGACACACAACTGTCAAACACACACACTTACACAACATTAATCTGAACCAGAACAAGTTAAATACCTTACAGCTTGAAACCATCCTCTCTGTCCCCCCAGAGACATTCAGCGGATCTGCAGGAGGGACTCAGATCCACAATAAAACCAGGTGCAGTCTGTGAAGCGAACTTCTTTCAGGAGCTAAACTCAGTGTAGTCTCTGGTCTTGTCTCGTCTCCTCTGAGCTCCTCCTCTCTGACTGTGCTCATCATTCCTCTACAGAACTTCAGAAACAAAATACACTTCTTTCTTTCTATGTGTTGTTAATTAATAAAATAATAATGCAAATACATTACGAAATGAACATATCTGACAACAGATCTGACTTTATTAATACACATATATAATATTCATACCAGATGATGATTATATATGTACTATACATAATATATATCATATTAATTTAAATATCTATAATATTACTGCTCACTGATTCACACACAATTAACATGAACATTAAATCAACTGTAAGTTCTTTATATTAACTGGATCCTTTTCCTGTCTGTTTACTGCTTTTATTTTGGAAGGTCCTGTTACCCTTGCAGCCTCTCTGGTCTGTCTGTCTCTCTCTCTGCACTGCTTTATTCTTTAACCATTTAAAGACTATATTGAGCTCCTGTTCACAATACCCCCCACCCCACCCCCACCCCCCACCCCCATCATCATTCACATTTCAAACAGGCTCCTGCTGTTTTTATCTGTTCACATTCGCAGCAGCAGGGGACTCTGGGGAAAACTTACCCTATTAATCAAGACCGACAGGGAAGCTGTGAAGTGGGCAGCAATGCTATTTAGTATTAGCACCCGGGGGGCTAACGATTATGTTACAAGGCTAAATTAGGAAGAAGAACATATACTTAATAATTCACCAGCGCGGGAAATTCTTTTTTCCACTCTTACTTTACAACACAGCCCGAATACAATCATGCAGATAGACTTGTGGAAAGACTTGAGGCTTGGTGCCTTGCTCAACGGGCACCTTCAAGCAGGGCCACATGATGTGGACTGGCACCTTCCAGCTGCCCGTCCACCACTCCACAGCCAATGCAGTCCCTTACAGACTAAGGGCCTGTCCACACAGACTTTAAGGGCCAGTCCAGCACAGACTAAGGGCCAGTCCAGCACAGACTAAGGCCTGGTCCACAAGACACAGGGCCAAGTCCACCACAGACTCAGGGCCAGTCCACACAGACTAAGGGCCAAGTCCACACCAACTAAGGGCCAGTCCCACACAGACTTAAGGCCATGTCCACACAGATTTAAGGCCAGTCCCACAGACTAAGGCAGTCCACACCAGACTAAAGTGCCAGTCCACAGCAGACTTAAGGGCCTGTTCACACAGGACTAAGGGGCCAAGTCCACCACAGACTAAAGGGGCCGAGTCCAACACAGACTAAGCCAAGTCCACACAGACTAAGGGGCCAGTCCACACAACTACAGGGCCAGGTCCACACAGGACTAAGGGCCAGTCCACACGGACTAAGGGCCAGCACACAGACTAAAGGGCCTGGTCCACACAAGGAACTAAGGGCCAGGTCCACACACGGACTAAGGGCCAGTCCACACGACTAAGGGCCAGTCCACACAGACTAAGGGGCCAGTCCCACACAACTAAGGCCAGTCCACACAGACTAAGGGGCCTCAACCCAATAACGATAATGCTACATTATGGGTAACATGCTACATTTCGTGGTTAAAGCATTGTTACATAGAGTCATGAGAACGTTAGGCGGTTGGAGGCTCTCAGTGGAAAAGGTGAGACTCTCCAGGGAGTTGGATGATTGTGCGTTTAAACTGGTCCGTGGGAACGCAGCATTAGTCAGGCAGCGACCAATCACGAGAAGCCACTGAGAAGCTGGCTTTTAATTCAAGGACGAAGAGAGTATTCATTTAAAACAGAGGAGAGAAGAGAGAGAGAGACCAGAGAGAGGGAAGGAGAATAACACCAGCTTCAGACAAAGGAACTCTGTAATCCACTGATTTATTTTAAAGAACTCTGAGGACAGCTGAAAGCTTTGATGATTCTTGAAGTTTAGCTAGCTCTGGCTGGTCTTTGATATCTGCTGCCATTCAACATTGGTAACAGTGGAATGTAGAAAACGAATATTTGCCCCCTGCTGCCCCCTGCTGCCCCCTGCTGCCCCTGCTGCTCCCTGCTGCTCCTGTTGCTCCCTGTTGCTCCCTGTCGCCCCCCTGTTGGCCCCTGCTGCCCCTGTTGCCCCCTGTGCCCTGCTCCCCTGTTGCCCCTGTTTGCCACTACACACACTGAAACTGGATCCAGCTGTAAAAATAAAGAGAAAAATGAATGGGTGGGGGGATGAAACAAGCCAGGAGGAGTGTGTGTGTGTACTGTGTGTGTGTGGTGTGTGTTACTTTGTTGTGTGTTACGTGTGTGTGTTTACTTGTTGTGTGTTGTGACTGGTTGTGTGTGTGACTGTAGTTGTTGTGTGTGTGTGTCGTGTTACTGTGGTGTGACTGCTGTGTGTGTGTGTGTACTTGTGTGTGGTACTGTGTTTGTGTGGTTACTGTTGTGTGTGTGTTACTTGTGTGTGTGTTACTGTGTGTGGTTTACTGTGTGTGTTGTTAACTGTGTGTGTGGTGTTACGTGGGTGTGTTACTGTGTGTGTGTGTGTGTTTACTGTGTGGTGTTGTGTTACTGTGTGTGGTGTGTTACTGTGGGTGTGTTTACTGTGTGTGTGTTGTTGTGTTTACTGTGTGTGTTGTGTGTTACTGTGTGTCTGTGTGTTGTGTGTGCTGTGTGTGTGTGGTGTGTTACTGGTGTGTGTGTGTGTACTGTGCTGTGTGTGTTTGTTGGAGGATGAATGTAGCGGTCAGCAATTCTCCCATGGGCAACAATGCGGAGAATCATGACTCTGGAATACTTGCATCCTGATTGGGTCTGAGAGCCTTCCAACAGGCAAGCAATAACCTTTTCCAACCCCCGCGGGCGCTCAATGTGTGGTGTGCATGTGTTGTTACAGTGGTGCGGTTGTGTGTGTGTTGTGTTTTTTGTGGTGTGTGTGTGCTGTGTCACAGTGGCGTGGGTGTGTGTGCTGTTTCCCCCCCCCCCCCCGCAGGTGTGCTGTGTGTGTGTCGTCACAGTGTGTGTGTGTGTGTGTCACAGGTGTTGTGTGTGCTGTGTGTCACACTGTGTGGTGCTGTTGTGTCACAGTTGTGTGTTGTGGTGTGTGTGTGTGTGTGGTGGTGGTGTGTGTTACAGTGTGTGGTGGTGTGTGGTGTGTGGTGTGTGTTACAGTGTGTGTGTGTGTGGTGTGTTGTGTTACAGTGGTGTGTGTGTGTGGTGTTACAGTGTGTGTGGTGTGGTGTGTTTTACAGTGTGTGTGGTTCGTGTGTGTGTGTTACAGTGTGTGTGTGTGTGTGTGTGTTACAGTGTGTGTGTGTGTTTACAGTGTGTGTGTGCGTGTGGTGTGTGTGTGTGGTGTGTGTGTGCTGTGTGTTGTGTGTGTGTGTGTGTGTGTTAGTTACAGCTGTGGTGTTAGTTACAGTGCTTGTGTGTGTGCTGTGTGTGTGTGTTGTTACAGTGCTGTGTGTTAGTTACAGTGTGGTGTTAGTTACAGGTGTGGCTGTTAGTTACAGTGTGTGTGTGTGTGTGTGTGTGTGCGTTACAGTTGTTGTGTGCTGGTGGTCGGGTGTGTGCTGTTTACAGCTGTGTGTGTGTGGGTGTGTGCTTGTGTGTTACAGTGTGTGTGTCACAGCTGTGTGTGTGTCACAGTGTGGTGTGTCACAGCTGTGTGTGTGTCACGGTGTGTGTGTGTCACGGTGTCGTGTGTGTCACAGTGTGTGTGTGTGCTGTGTCACAGTGCTGTGTGGTGTGTGTGTCGTGTTACAGGGTGGTGTGTGTGTGGTGTGTGTGTGGTGTGGTGCTGTGTGGTGTGGTGTGGTGTTTACAGTGGGTGTGTGTGTGTGTGTGTGTTTTTGTGTGTGTTTTACAGTGGTGTTGTGTGTGTGTGTGGGTGTGGTGTGTGTGTGTTACAGTGGTGTGGCTGTGTGTGTGTGTGTGTGCTGTGGGTGTTACAGGTGGTGGTGTGTGTGTGTGTGTGCTGTGTTACAGTGTTGTGGTGTGTGTGTGGGTGTGTGGTGTGTGTGTGTGTTACTGTGTGTGTGTGTGTGTGTGTGTTACTGTTGTGTCGTGGGTGTGTGTGTGTGTTACTGTGTGTGTGCTGTGTGTGTTACGTGTGTGTGCTTACACGTGGGTGTGTGTGTGTGTGTGTGTTACATTGTGCGTGGTCGTGTGTGTGTGTTACAGGTGGGTGTGTGCTGGGTTGGGTGTGTGTGTGGTTGGGTGTGTGTGTGTGTGTGTGTGTGTACTGTGGTTGTGTGGTGTGTGTGGGTGTTATGTGTGGTGTGTTACTGTGTGTGTTTACAAGTGGCGTGTGTGTGTGTGTGTGGCTGGGTGTGTTACTTGCTGTGTGCTTACAAGGTGGGTGTGTGTGGTGTGTGGTGTACACGTGGGTGTGTGTGTGTGTGTGTGCTGTGTTTGGTGGTGTGTGTTACAGTGGGTGTGTGTGGTGTGTGTGTGTGGTGGTGTGTTTTACAGCTGTGGTGTGTGTTACAGTGTGTGTGTGTGTGTGCTGTGTGTGTGTGTGCTGTGTTACAGTGGGTGTGTGTGGTGTTGTTACAGTGGGTGGCTGTTGTGTGGTGTGTTACGAGGTGGGTGTTGTGTGTGGCCACTGTAGAGACATCACAGCCACACAGTGGGCGAGTCACAAACAATGGAAGTTCACAGGTGACGGAGAGACCTGGACCAGGGAGTGAACTACAGTTCCCAGAGTGCCACTGCTGGCTTGGGCGACCGTCAATCAAAGAGCTGCAAGGGACTCTGTTGCTGGAGCAGCAGAATATGATGAAAGTGGGGTGACATCAGTGCTCTGGATGGAGTGTCTCCATAGCAACAGCTGCTGAGGCTCATGGTGGGGGCGTACTGTAGTGAGTTCCCACACAGAACTGAACCTCAGATAAGAAAACGAACACGATTCAAACCTGATTTCTGATCATAATGAGGACTTTCTACTTTTTGCAAATCCTGAAATCAGTGGCTTTCCTGTCGGCTGACAGTGAGTTGCCCCCCCCCTTCTGTGTAAACTCTGTCAGCGCGCAGCTTTAAAACCAATCACTTTAGTTCCTGTGATTGTCACCAAAGATTTTATTGTCACTGGAACACTCAAGTTTTAAACGCTTACACTATTCACAACTATTTCTGCTATTGCTCACTTTCTCCTAAAACATCTCAACATACTCCGAAATCAGGAATTTTAAGGGATGCAACAGTCCCAAAACAAGCAGCTCACTGCCTCCGCCTGATGCCCTTCATTTGTATTTAGCGTTTATCTCATGACATCATACAGAAACACACTAACATCCATTGAAAACCTGCCAGACACCTTCACTGGGTCCGACGTTGTTGTGTGTGCTGCAAGAACCAACACAGAAGTCTTCATCCACTGCACCGCCATCTGGGAAGGAAGAGACTCATTATCACTCCTTCCCCACTGTACTAAGAAACCAGAATATGCCCAATACAAAAAATATATATACTGCAGTCAGCCAACCAGGGGAGATAGAGGAGAGAGTCTATACTGCAGTCAGCCACCAGGGGAGGGATGAGAGAGAGAGGAGTTATACTGCAGTTCAGCCACCAGGGGGGGAGATAGAGAGAGAGCAGTCTATACTGCATCAGCCACCAGGGCGGAGATAGAAGGAGAGAGGAGAGTCATACTGCGGGTCAGCCAACCAGGGGGAGATAGAGAGAGAGTCTATACTGCAGTCAGCACCAGGGGGGGGAGATAGAGAGAGAGTCTATTACTGCAGTCAGCCACCAGGGGGGAGATAGGAGAGCAGAAGAGAGTCTATACTGCAGTCAGCCACCAGGGGGAATCAATTCAATTCAATTCAATTTTATTTGTATAGCCGCCCAATTCATAACAGAAGTTATCTCAGACACTTTTTGCAAATAGAGCAGGTCTGAGACCGAACTCCTTACGTAACATTTACAGGAGACCCACAGTACCACCATGAGAAGCACTCCGTGGCAACGGGTGAAGGGAAAACACTTGCCGTTTAACGGCAGAAACCTCGGACAGACCCTTCGCGCTCTTCAGGGTGGGGTGGTCACTGCCTTGACCAGTTGGGGGAGAAAGGGAGAGAAGATGAGGAGAGAGACAGAGAGGAGACAGAGAGACAGAGCAGAGCGAACAGGATGTACAGCAACAACAGAAGCAACAACTATAGAGACAATATATAGGAGGGATAGAGCAGAGGAGAGAGTCTATACTGCCAGTCAGGCCACCAAGGGACGATAGAGAGAGGAGTCTATTACTGCCGTCAGCCAACCAGGGGGAGATAGGAGAGTCTATACTGCAGTCAGGGCCACCAGGGGCAGATAGAGAGGAGAGTCTATACTGCAGTCAGCCAACCAGCGGGGAGAGAGAGAGAGAGAGAAGTTATACTGCAGTCAGCACCAGGGGAGAGAGAACGGAGTGGGGAGAGAGAGAGTCTATACTGCAGTCAGCCACCAGGGGGAGGAGGAGGAGGAGAGGAGAGAGAGTCTTATACTGCCAGTCAGCCACCAGGGGAAGAAATATAGAAGAGAGTCTATACTGCCAGGTCAAGCCACCAGGGGGAGCATATATAGAGAGAGAGTCTAACTGCAGTTCAAGCCACCATGGGGGAGATAGACGAGGAGAGAGAGTCTACTGCCAGTCAGCCACCAGGGGGGAGAGAGGAGAGAGTCTATACTGCAGTCAGTGGACCTTGTCCGGACCAATCAGCAGCCTCCGTGTGTCCACTAGAGGCTCCAGCAGTATAGCTGTGGGGGTGAACCTGTGGAGGACGTCACAAGACTAATTACACAGTGTGTGATGCTGAACAGTGTTTCCACGGTAACAGTAACTCCTGCTGACAGTGAACAGAACAGTATCATCAGCATAATGGAGGATAAACTTTACTGCGTTCCTTTATAACTTTACGGAGGGGGACCATGTATGTACGAATAAAAAGCAAAGGTCCAAGAATTGACCCCTGTGGAACCTCCTGGGCCAGAGCAGACCACACTGAGCTTCACAACGACTGTTTTGTAGACAGTTTATTATACAGTGTGTGATCAGGACCAGTAGATAGAGTAAATGTGGACCAGGTCAGGACCAGGTAACAATATAGTGTCAAACTGCATTTGACATTGTGGAACTTCTTCGATTAGCCCCCAGTAGCTAAAGTTCAGAACTATATGTTTAGTATATTTCCTATTCTATTGATCAGTATCAATAACAGTAACTGATCAATTACCCTAAACAGTGAACTCAATAACTGCAGGAAGTTTGATTGTGTTTGATAATAATAATAATAATAATAATAATAATAATACTACACAGTGTGATCAATAATAATCATATTAATAATAATAATAATAATAATAATAGTGTTCACAGCTTCAATATGAATATACATTTTTAAAAACAATGGAGGACTAAAGTCAGTCTCATTATAAAGCTTCAACAAATCTTTTAAAAGTTTTTATTTTTAACTTATTGAACTGATCAATATTGAACTGATCAATATTGAACTGATCAATATTGAACTGATCATTATTGATGATGAAGCTGATCTGGAGTCAGTGGATCACAGGTTGACCCTGACAATCTACCAATAAAGAAGAAGAACCCTCCACAGATAAATACTCCTGACTTCCTGTTTGTGAATGAGCAGCTCTCAGTGGGCGGGGCTTATCAGTGTGCTCAGGTGTGCTCAGGTGTGAGAGCCACTGACAGGAACAGTGAGAGCTGCTTTAACCTTTTTCTCCTCCACCAAAGGACATAATGCCGTCCCACAATCCCTTGCAGCAGCAACACGGCATCTGTTTGATCATCCAAAACTTGTGGAAATCCGTAAATATTGATTACCTCTCGCGCCGATCTGTGCGGTCTTCAGAACAAACATATTAAATTCATATTTAAAATGAATCATCAACAAAGTAATTATACACGTTATTCACTCGACTCCTTATTTATTATTATTAATAGAATAATAATAAATATATACATGGCCAGCAGGGGGCAGTGACTCATCTCTGATCAATATTCACAGGAAATAGTNNAATAGAATATGAAATACAGTATACTGATGACAGAAACAGGAAGCAGTCAGCTGCAGACGAGGCGTTCATGTACCAGAATGCATTGCTCCCACTGAGCAAGCTAACGTTAGCTACCAGGTGCTCTGGTTTTATTGATCTTATATCAACAGTTTGGATTCAGTCTGATCAGATTAGATTATTTATTGATTAAATTTGATATATTCTATATTTATTGTCTTTAATCACTCTCAAAGTATTAATTTGAAATCTGTTCATCACCATGGAAACAGACAATGCAACAACGATCCAGGTTGCAAACAAGAAAACAGATAATATGAAGCTTTAATTCAATTTAATTTCTGGCTTATAGATTCGATTATTGATCAATTAATAGAAAAAATGATCCGAATCAGAAATTCAAAAGAGACTTCCTGTTTGATCAGTAAACAGGAGAGAAAGTCTCACCTACTGATCAATATCCTCTAGCTGATCAATACTGAACATTTAATAAAGCAGAACACACACACACACACACACACACAGAGAGAGGAGAGAGAGAGAGGCACGTGGCGCTGGGTGGGGACCGCCATAATAAAAAACAACGCTGATAATCGATAATATATCGATATAAATGACGTCATATATTCATCATCAAACGTTCGGCTTCCGTTACGTTTTCTATCTGTGTTGGATCCATGGCAACAAGATTCAAATCCACCAAACTGCAGCCAGATCTGACCCGTTTCTGCGTCAGAAAAACAAGATACCAGATTCAATAACTGAAATATTTCTGGAATCAATAACTCCTGTGATCTTTGATGAACACATTCTGTTCATTAACTGAGAGCCGAGTTAAAGAGCAGCTGGCGGGAGTTCAGGCAGGAGACTGATCTTAGTTCCCCCCGCTGAGCACTGCAGCAGAAGAGCAGAGCGACCTTAAAATCACCAACTTTTAAATGGAGTCTGGTGTTTGTGATGGTTTCTGGGACCTACCTGGACCCCCCTGCGGTTCTGGACCACCTGCCGGTCTCCGTCCTCTGACGCTTCACTTCCGGCGGGGATCCGACCTGCCGCCGGTCGCTCACATGATCCGGAACCGGTCCGGTCCAGAACCCGCAGCTGATTGTCTCCCGCTGCGGCTCACGCTCCGCACCGCGCACTCTCACATCAGGTGTGAACGATGACGCTGATTGATTGATTGATGACGCCACTGTCGCCTCGTGCAGCCGCTCCGGAATCAGCGCAGCCGCGGACGCTGATCGATCATCGCGGATCGATGCTGTGATCAGAAGAAGGCTCGCTGCTCTTCATCCTCGTCCTCCTCCTCTTCACCGATACGACAGCACGAGCTCCATCAGCACCGCGCGCTCACAACGCTGCGGGCACGCGCACGTTTCTGTGCGCACACAGACCCGCAACGTGGAGACCGATCGATAATTAAACATTCAGATACAATCAAAAACAGATCAGATTATCGATTATTTATTTTAATTTTATATATTT